TGAGTTAACATGAGTTAGTTCGTGGATTCCTAGTGTCCTAGATCATTAAGACAACTGAAGTTGCTTCATTTTTGGCACATCATTTCTGTTTTGGAGAGGTTTGAGACATTATAAGGATCAGAGAAAATGTCTAGTCCTCCATCTTGTCACATGATCTTGCTGTTTGGATCTCAGTGGCATTGGAAAGATGGGGGCAGAGTGTCCTGCATGTAGCTAAGTTCTGTTGCAAGCCATGGGTCAACTTGTGCAGCCCTGCAACTGGAAGCATGATGGGCAGTGGGGTTGGGAGTGCCAAGTAAGCAGGCTTCTGTTCATTGAGTTTTTAATTTGTTTGGGTTCTTGGAGTCCTAGCTTGTGGGGGCAATTGAAATTGTTTTATCTCTTGCACATAATTCCTATTTTGGAAAGATCTGAGAGGTCATGAAAGCTGGTCCTCTATCTTGTTGGTCATGTGACCTGATATAATCTCCTATACGTTTTTTATATTCCACTTCCTAGTCATCCGTCCCAAATGGGAAGGAGGCATAAAGGTCAATAGGTATTATTAGCATCTTGGAAATCCACATTTAGTCCATACATGCTATAATATTGTTGTCCTCTTCTTTACAGCATTAGCAATGCCAGAGTACCTCTTTTACATTTTATTATGTCAGTTACAAACTATCTGAGGTCCCTCTTCCAATAACACGTAATGGAGTGGGTATTTCATGGATCTAACCACAGAAAAGTAGTTAATGATATCAAAGTATTAAACTGCATAAACTCACACCATGCTAGGTGATCCCTTTATGAGGTACAAATTAGTCACTTTAGTGAATGTGAAAAGAAGCAAAAGGCACAGGATGAAGAATGATAAGTTACATCTCTGGGTGACCTTTAAAAATCAGTCTGGTAAATCCAGGGAAGAGATTTGAAGAGGAATATAGCTTCTTGTAAGAGGAAAATAAGACAAAGAGCTGGAGAACGAGAAACTGAGAGAAGCCATCTGGAGCTGAGACAAGGAAGAACAGAAAACAGAGGAGCCAGGACTATGGGAGGGAGATTTCTTGGGCTAATTGGCATTAGATGTGTCAAGACAAGAGCTGTGTGGTAGAAATCCTCACCCTTATAGATATCAAAAGTAGCTATCCTTTCTCACCTTGAGCTACTATGGGAGCCCAAAGCTTTTTTCTTCTGGGCATGGAAAAGTATTTACCTTTTTTTTACTTTAAATAATTATTTTATCTTTATAAACAGTATTAGCCAATGGCATTTGCTAGTTGGAATGTACTTACTGGGAATATAGTCAAGAGGAGGCAACTGAAGAGGAAATATCTCCAGAGAAAAGCTAGAGACAAAACGCTGAGCTGTTTTGCCAAAAGTCCTATCTCTAGTGAGGGGCTTCCAGTAACAACAACCGAAAAAAAAAAAAGGGAAAAGAGAAGTCTAGATATGTTGATACTACTTTCTATAGCGGAGAAGGGGCATTTGTACTGAGAAATCCATCTGGGCAACAAGGTAGTGGTAGGATAAGTGTAAAACAAGGAGTGGTTGAATAGCCCTAGTCACTACACCATCCCCTTAACACTGCTACTCACACATATTTGGAGAATGGCATTTAAACACACACACACACACACACACATATTAGAGAAGGTAGAGACTTGATCATATCTCGAAGTATAAGTAGGTCTTTGATAGGTAGAATGGGAACTCCAGGAAAGGAGAATGTGAGTGAAGATACAGAAGGAGGAATGAGTACTGCATAGTTATATGCAATATAGACATCGTTGTCTGTATTGTCCTTTGGCTGTAATCAGGCAAATTTCACTCTTCTCCCCAGCATTCTGCTTTGTCAAGGTCTCCTACTCAAAGATTCATCCAGCCTTGTGGCCTCTATTTCATAATGTGTCATCTGGTCATCTGGTATGGTTCTCTTGGCAGTCTCCATGCTTCCAGCGATCACTAGTTACACAGTCCAGTCCATCTCTTAAAGTGTCCCATTCAGAAGGATAAAGTGTACAGCATTCTGTCACATTTTAAAAATTTGACACTTCCTTTCAGCTCTCTGGTTTGTTTCCAGATACCTTTTCAGGTAGAAATCAGAGAAATATGAAGGAAGTTTCTATCTATCTAGTCCGGTGTATAATAAAGGCTTTGAAAAGAAAGGAGCTGGGGATGTGACTGACATGATGGAGTAGTTGCTTTTCAAAAATTCTCTGGAGCCCAAAAACATCAGAAGAAGGAATTATGCAACTGAATTTTAATCTACAAGATTAAAAGACAGAAACACTACATAAGGCAAAAATCTTATAAAATAATATCAAAGAACTTAGATATTTAGTATTTTTATCACTTAATGTATGCTCCAAGTATAGAGAGCTCATGCAAGTTTTCAGGCTTGTAATTCAGGACCTCACTATGGAAGGTTTTGTCCACTCTTCTCAAAGCAGTCAGTTAAAGAGCATTTATTAAGCACTTCCTATATGTCAGACATTGAACTAAGCAGTAAGTACTAGGGATACAAAGAAAGGCAAAAACCAGTACTTGTCCCCAAAGACTATACTTTTAAGGAGGGAGACAGTATGAAAATAACTAGGTACATATATATACATACATACATATATGTACACACATATACATATACAGAGATATAGGTTGTACTCAGAATCATTGAACTAGATGGGAAATATCATTGGTGCCTGAGGGAAAGGAGACTAGACATTCATCTGGGGTCAGTTTTTTCCCCTAAGAATTTTTAAGTAAAAATTTTTTAAAATTTAATTTTATCATTTTTCAATTAACAAAAATCTATTTTATTTCTTTCCTACTTCAACCTCTCTTAAGGAAAAAAAAAACAAGCAAAACTCTCGTAACAAATATGTGCAATCAAGTAAAATTAATTCCCACACTGTCCATGTCAAACAACAAAACAACTCTGATCTGGGTATGAGTCTAGACAACAACACTATAGGCTTTCCCTTGGCTGCGGTTCCAGCAGACTGGACCCAGTCACCATCAGCTAGTTGGAAGGTTCTATAGGTTCAGAGTAATAGAAGTGCGGGCTACCCCACTGGTCTAAGTTTCCAGCCCTGGCTATTTGGCTGCAGGTTTCAGACTGCCCTGAGGGCTGGATTTAAAATACTGCTCCAGTCCAGGGGTCAAAGTCACATAGATACAGCTTGCTTCTTCTGTTCCTGCTTCTTGGCCAGCACACAGCCTGAAGGACTACAGATGTTCTTGCCCTGATTGATATACCACTCCTAGGTGCAGGTCCCTTCAGTCCTCATTCCATTAAAGTATGAAAAGTCAAAATCAGTATGGAAGCAGTTCTGATTTTGCTGATATCAGTTTGCCTTTTTTCTTTTTATTATATTTTAAATATATTTTTCACTCCTTTGTATGCAATTATAGGATCAAGGGATATGATCAATCAATTTTATATCATTTCATATGGGTGTTTCTAGGAGTCTTGTATGTTTTATATTTATTGGTGTTTTCATGGCAATTAAAACATTAATATGTCACAATTTATGTTGCCATCCTCCAACAGTTGGTCACATAAATGGTTCCTAGGTTTTTCCTCCATGTTACAAACAAAAACTTCTACGAATATTTTTGCACAAATAGAGCTACTTTTAAGCCCTGCAATGGAATTATACCAGGTCAAAAGACATTATTGGCCAGTTTTGTGACATTTATTGCCGTATTTCTCTCCAAAATGTTTTATACTACACTAGAACATATGCCTAAGCTGATCAACTAGTGAAATTTGAGCAGGAGATTGAGACATTGCTAATAGCTGTTGGGGCAAATTGACTACTTACTTAATTAGGGGCTCTGGGGATGCAGGGGAAGTACGATATCTCAATCCATGTTAGATGGACAAAAGGTGATGACGCCCTCTCCTATACAAAGCTTTGCGTATGGCTCTTGAAACATGCAGTTGAAAAGAATATGATTGCTCATCCGCTTCCGAGGCTTATTGGACTCTCTGGAAAACCAATGTTCCCCAGCTGGGTATTTTGAAGGTATTATGGGTGAAGTTAAAGTAAATTGAGGAATAATGTTCTGAGCGTGTTCATTTTATTGGTAAGGCTAGCAATTAACAATAAAATGGTTCTCCTGGCTCCTCAGTCAGTCAAAAGACCATAAAGTAAGGCTTACTAGCCTTCATATAGTTTTGGGAAGTACAAGAGAACAAAGAACAGAAAACACAGGCAGAAAACCCCAAAATGTTGGTTACAAAGTCTGACGTATCATAGATGATGGAAAACAATATGATTGGATGGGAGTCTGGAATACAGGCTTAACAACAACCCTCCTTCCATCTTGTTGCTATGAAAAGTTCACTAGTAGTGTCCATGTGCATGGTTAGCATCACAGCAATAACAGACCAGGCTTTCTTCAACGACAGTCAGTATTACAGATAACAGACTTCCTAGAGCCCACTTGCATCAGCAAAATCAGAACTACATCCATACTGATTACAACTTTTCATACTTTAATAGATGTGTCATCTCATCAACATGGAGGGCTCCTTCTATCCATACCTACCACTCCTTTTTGACTCTTGTCCATGTACTCCCACAAAACCTCTACAACAAGCCAATCAAACATGCTGAGGGTCTTCTTCTCTCTTTACATTCTGGGTACCAGCGCAGCAATCAGGCTATTTATCTGCTACTCATCACTTTTGACATGCCAACCACTTTTATGATACCACCTCCTCTGGATGATATCTTTAATAACATTTCTTACATGAAAATCATCATTGGTAATATCCAATAGCCCACTTATACTGCATATTTTAAATGTTTGCTAATTTTATAAAGTTTTCTAATGAATATTAAGATAGTGATAAAATTTATAAATTATGTTACATAATTATAATTAAATAAAAATAAAATGTAATTAGAAATTAAAAACGATAATAGCTCTCTAGCAGGTTAGACCAGACCTTTCTGCACCGGGAAGCATATGGTCTGCTTTTATTGCCAAATTTTGAAGTACATACATACCTGTCAGTATGGACAAGGTAGTGGTCTTCCCTGCTCCATTATGTCCAAGAAGCACAGTGATCTGCCCCTCATACATATTCAGTGTTAGGTTGTTTACTGCCTTTTTGATAGTATTCCTTGACTTGAATATCTGTGTAAGAAGCAAAGAAAGTGACCATACACAATTCTTAAAGAGTACTGAAACTTAGTAAGAATTTACATTAATTTTCCTTCAATGGAATGATACTACCACTGAACATGAAGGGAAATAGCTAAAAAAAACATGCATTTCAGTATAAAATAGGCTAAAACAGGCCACCTAACGGCACAGTCTTTTTGAGAAGCCTTCAGAGACTGCCCTGTCTGCCTCTTAGGAGATCCTTAGATCCACTACACAACCAAGCAGGTGAATTTCATCTCATGCTCACTACGTACTTTTTACCTGTCCAACTTGAGCACTGTGGCTCTAGGTGTTCATTTGCACCACACCAGATCTAGCTTGGATTAGATGAATTGCCATAATCACTAGGAGATCAGGAGTAATGGCCTCAAGATTTAGAAAAGGCAGAGATGGCAAAAGGCCTACAGGTTTATTTCCACCATCCCTGGCAAGAGGAATACCAGCAGTCTGGCAGGGACACTGGTACCAGCATGGGCAGCAAAGTGGGCACCAGCACATTTAGCTTGCTGTGAGCATTCTAAGGATAAGGGGGTAGGAAAAGAGACCCAAGGCTGGTGGTACCTGCCTTGGTAAAACTGGAGACCAAAAGGTAGAAATAGCTATAATTTGTGACCTTGTTTGCCTTGGTCACTGGGATTAGGGGTCACAGGTTAGACTGTAGTAGTCTCTTTACCCTAGTTTAAGTCTGAGCTGGTCTGGTACAAATAGAATACTCAGAGATATATTATTCATATCAGGTGGTTGTTTTTATTGAGGTTTAAAAAAAAAGTATAAGAAAATGTGGCTCCTCATTCAACAGGCCTAGGTGAAAGTAGCCCTAAAGTGTTGCGACTAATCAGCTCCTTAAGAACAGGCACAGCAGCCCCTCTCTAGGTCTCCCTGGGGGAGGCTCTTTGCCCGGAGGTGGCCATCTACACCAGGCCCATGCTTGGGCCTCACATCACTGCAGGGGTAGGGAACCTGCAGCTTCAATGCCACATGTAGTCTTCTAGGTTCCTGGGTACGGGCCTTTTGATTGAGTCCAAGTTTTACAGAACAAATCCTTTTATTAAAGGTTCTGTGAAGTTTGGATGCAGGTCTCACTTGAGGACCTAGAGGGCCACTTATGGACTCAAGGGCACAGGTTCCCTATGCCTAACTTAGGGGCAAACAGCTCATGCCAGCTATGTAATATTCAAGTCAATTGCCAGCACCCCAGGCAGAGATCCAAGAATGTTCTGTGTCTCAACACTAATAGAGGTTACAAACACCTGTAGAAATGTAATGGAAGTCTGTGAGTTGCTTTAAAAATGCCCATATGTAATGTATAACCATGACATGGTAACAAAACATAATGTCTAGGAATCATAGACAGAAGAGATGGAAATGGTCTGCAGAAATGAAGGTAAACATGCCTCTCCCCTACCCCCAACCTGGGAGGAGGCACTGTGGATAAACAGAACGGGGGTGGTGTGTGTGTGTGTGTGTGTGTGTGTGTGTGTGTGTGTGTGTGTGTGTGAGAAAAGTGTGAGGGAATAATTCCAGAGTGATTTTTTGACAATGGGAAAAAATTATCATGGAGAGGGCAGAGGGTAGTAATGAAACATAGGACCAGAGACACAGGGAGACTTCTACCACGGATTTCTACCCTCTCCATCACCTGCAGTAACTGGTATTTCTAAGAATAAGGCAGAAAAGACAAAAGGGGAAAAGGGGACAAGATCTACAAGGCAATAACAGAAACTTTTTAGAAGAAGGAACTTGAAACAGTTACCTTAGAAGCTTTAATTTCATGAGGAATACAGAGTCTAAAGAATGATTAAATAAGTATAAGGGCTATGAATCAAAGAATAAAAGTATAGAATAGACAGAAAGGAAAAAGAAATAAGGAAGAGAAAGAAATCCTATTTAGAAAGAGACAAAGGAAATAAAAATTTTAAACTAATAAGTTAAAAGGGAAAAAAGGAAGGGACATTTTATTTGACTACTTAACTGAAAAAAAAAAAGAAGAGAAAGATAAAGGAATTAATGAGTTAAGCTCATCTCCAAAACTAAAGAAAGGGATCACAAATGCAACGGGGAAAGAGAACTGGTGGGAATAGGGTTGCTATAAAGTAGAATAAGCTAAAAGAACTGAAAAGATTAAATTACTATGTTTACAGAGGATGAATTAAAAAAACTCAATTAAAAAACCCCAACATTATTGATAAATGGAGAAAAATCTAAACATGCTTATATTTTTAAATGTGAGTTAACTTAAAAAATGAATAAATTAAAAGAGTGACAGATGGTTTTTGGCTAAGAAAACAAAGCCACTACTGAGTGTGACTAGAAAGAATGCAGTGAGCTACCCTCCACAAATTACTTTAAAACAATCTAGAAAACACACCAGATTGAAAATCCAAAAACAGTCAGTGAAACATTTGTCTAGCCCAGTTTGCCACAATGAGTTCTGTGCTGACAGCTGTTTTTTGTTTTTTGGCAATTGGGGTAAAGTGACTTGCCCAGGGTCACACAGCTAGTAAGTGTGAAGTGTTTGGTCTGAGGTCATATTTGAACTCAGGTCTTCCTGACTTCAGGGCCAGTGCTCTATCCACTGCGCCACCTAGCTGCCCTCCTTGGTTGTTTTGTTTGTTTTGTTTTGTTTTGTTTTGTTTTGTTTTGTTTTGTTTTGTTTGGCTCCTGGATCAAAACACTTTGGGAACACTGAAAGCTTATAGGTCCCCAGTCTATCTTTGAAATCCTGGAATATCACAACATTCAATAGCCAAAAAAAGTGGCAAGACTAGGTCAGACCTTCCCCCCAGAAGTGTGCAGAGCCTGGCCCTAACGTCTGGAAGAGTGAACAAATCAGAAAAGGGTTTCACCACACAAATCCTGAGGGACAGGAATGCTCAAGGTACAAACACAGAAAAAGAGAGTGACACCAAACACATATGAGCAAAGTCTCAAAACACAACTGTGGCACAAATTCATCTAGAATTTCTAGAAGTAATGAAGCAAAGATTTTTAAAAGTTTTTGTAAATGAGATGAAAATGCTACAGGAAAAAAATTGTAAAAGAAACAGAGCTATGGAAGAAGGCACTGGAAAGGGAATTGGCTAACCCTACCTCCATATAGGCTCTTCCTGGAAACCCAGAATTATGACCTGCCTGAACTCATTTCTTGATGATTAGCAGACTTGCACCCTATCATACTCTCCCCACAATTAATACTGACCCCCAGGTATCATTGTACAAATTCAATTTCCCCCCGCGTAGTCCTTTATTACCATCCATCTATGCCTACCCCTATTCAACATCCTACTCAAGATCTACCTGTCTTTTCACCAATCTGTCTGAAATGTCTGCTCCCCAAATAAATAAGGTTTTTTTCCTTTTTCACTCCTATCTTCTTGAATTCACTGAAACATCATTCCCTTTTGATTTTACAGACTCCCTGGCAACCCTTTCCAACACTAGTTCAATTTTCCCTCATACATCCCTAACTTGCTGGTCATGGTATGAGAGTTGGAATACTCCTTACTCCCCAAAGCCACTTTCAGGCTTTCTATCACTCTTCTCCTTTGAGAAGATGAAGCAAAGATTTATTACCCACTGAAGCAAGATTCTAGTATCTGTTATCTCCTGACCTCCAGGACACTCTTCTATTTTTCTTTTTCTTTTTTTTTTAGGCAATCAGAGTTAAGTGACTTGCCTAGGGTCACACAGCTAGGAAGTGTCAAGTGTTTGGCCTGAGGTTGGATTTGAACTCAGGTCCTCCTGACTTCAGGGCCGGTGCTCTATCCACTGTGCCACCTAGCTGTCCCCTCTTCTATTTTTCTTAATGAGTTCAGTGACTGATTCTTGAAGTCTTGTCTTCTCCCCAACTCCTGGTCTCTTATTAAGGGATTTCAACATACAATTTGATCCTCCCTCAAAACCCTAATCTCCCATTTCCTCAATTTACTCATTTCCCACGACATAATCCTTTATTCCACCTCAGCTACACAGAATTGGCCATACCTTTTATATTACCATCACCCATAAGAGTTCCACATCCATGTTCATGAACTTTGAAATTCCTTTATCTGATCATAACCTGTTGCCATTCCATCTCTCCCTCTGCCTTACAACCCCTAACCCTGTTTTATACCCTCATCATGACCTCCAATCTCTCCTATTGCAATAACTTTTGTATGGTTTCCCTGCCTCAAGTCTCTCTCTACTTCAGTCAGCTTCCACTCAGCTAGCTATCAAAGTGATCTTCCTAAAGCACACGTCTGACCATAGTGTACGCCCATTCAATTACGTCCATTGTCTCCCTATTACTTGTAGGGTCAAATATAAAATCCTCTGACATTCAAAACCCTTTATAATCTTCAAAATGCTGGCTCTCTCTTACCTTTGTTTATACCTTAGTTTCTTCCATGTATTCTGTGACCTAGAGATTCTCTCTTGTTGAGGTTCCTAATACATGACACCTCAACTCTGTGCATTTTCACCAGCTGTTCTCTATGCCTGGAATTCTCTTGCTCCTCTAAGCCTCCTGGCTTTCCTGGCTTCATGGAAGTCTCAGCTAAAATCTTACTTTCTCTAAGAAGGCTTTCTCAGTCCTTTTTAACGCCAGCATCTTCCCTTTGAGATTATCTCCAATTTATCCTATACATGTCTTATATGAACTTGGTTATTTACATGTTGTCTCAAACCCCATTAGATTTTGAGCTTCTTGAGTTCAGGGGATGTTTTTGTCTTTCTTTGTATTCCAAGTGCTTAGCACAGTGCCTGGAAAATATTAGGTGCTTAATTAATACTTCTTGACAACTCACATACAGAAATGCATACACACATACAAAGGAAAGTTAAAGAAATACGTGATATTTAGCAGGGAAACAGCCAGGGACAGGTAGAGGGTATAGAGGAGTTTAAAAGGAAGGACAAGAAAGATAATATTAATAATAACAGCTGGCATTTATATATTGTTTTAAGGCCTGAAAAGCACTTTATACACA